TAGTGACCAAGGGAAGTCTGCAATAGCTGGTACAGAGAGCAAGATGGGAGGCCCAGGGAAGGCCTGAGGGCTGAGGAAGCCAAAGAGTCTAGCCCAAGTTGGAAATCATGGACTTACGGAATCATGAATTTGCATAGTTATATAATTTTTTTTTCCAGTACACCTATCAGCCTATGTCTAGATGCTGCAAAAAATAGACAATTGGGTGCAATAGTGACCTCAGATTAGGAAAGGAAAGCACATCACCTCACAGCCCTGTGAGGTCCAGCCACTGGACTTGTCTTCCCCATCAGTAGTGGGGAGGCTTCCACGGAGGGACAAGCTGCTACATTTTGTCTGTGTCAATCTCACATTGAAAGATCTCTGGACTGTAGAGGAGATATTATTTCTTCCTAATTGGCCTAGTTCTTTATGAAGCTGAAGGGATATACCTCAAAGTTTATATTCTTTCTAACAAACAAGGAACATGGTTATGATACTCCCTAAGAAAATATCTTCTTCTCCAAACAGTCCAGTCCAGTCCAGTGATGAACAGACTTCAGGAATACAACCCAAGAATAAATAGAATAATAAATGAGGAACCAAGAACCCGGGGTTCAATGCTACCAATTTGTTGTGTGACCCTTGATCAAGTTTCTTAGTCTCTACCAACTTCATGTGTCTTTTGTAAACCATCAGGGAGGGACCTGTGAGTAATTGATTCCCTGTGTGCAGGCCTGTGTCACTGAGCACAGTCAAGAAATGCTACTTTCTTTTCCATTTTGCCTTCTTCTCCTAACCCCAAACTTGCATGTTTCTATAACTTAAAGGAACAGTATAGAAAACTAAATTCTTTATGTCCATAATGTTCAAACTTTTAGGTAAGAAACAGGTTTATTATGCTTCAAACCAAACAATACAAAAACATCATGAAATAATGACACTTATTACATGGAATGAATTCAAGTATTTTCTTTCATATGCCATTTCGTTTTTAAAAGACATGCTTGCCACCATCCAGTAAATGAATGTCAGAAGACACCAATGGCCTGAATCTTACAGTTTAAAGTAATGTTTGTAAGAAGGCTGTTTTTGTACAGTTGAAAGCATCTAAATGGGTGTATAATGGAAAACGCTGAAAACTGCTACCTTGAAAAATGCTGAACACATAGTTAGAGGAACCTCTCCCCAAACAGCAAGGGAGATGATATTTCAGTTCACTTTCATGGGAGACTCAACATCTTGCACAGCTGGGCTGTGTGGAGTAGTTTTTCCTGGCCTAGAACTCACAGCTCTCAGTTTGCATTGGAAACCAGGTTACTTTCTCAGCACTCCCTCTAGCATCCACTCAGTGGAAGCAACTCAGAAGGCTAAGGATGGAAAAGGGCAAGACAGATGAGGGTCTGCTCTTCGCACTTTCAAATAAAGAGTGCTGGTTAAAGCCACAATACACTTAAAACAACAACAATGCAACTCACCAAAGTAGTCTGGGAAGTAGCTGTGACAGAGTCACTTCATTTGGAAAAGGCACACAGAGGACTGATATGGTGAGTTATTTCCCCCCTTCACTTATTTTTTTTTAATTTTTAAACATTTTTCTCTTACTGAAAAATTTAAAGGAAGATCAGACCTTCAGAGAGAGAAGCACCTAATATTTCTGTTGTATGGAATGCCTGCACACTTAAAATGTAGATAGCGAATTTGATGTTATGCACATTTTATCACAATTTATAAGAAGTGAATTGGCAGGTCATTTACCACTGTGGTTGACAGCAGGTCAGTGGTGGACACTCAAGCTTGACACTACCTCCTACAAATTACAAAACCCCGGCAAGTGACTTAATACCCACCCCAGCCTGTTTCTTCATCTGAAAAATAGAAGTAAAAATATGTAATTTGTAAAGGCTTTATGAAGATAAAATATGGTGGTAAAGTTCGTCAAATATCAACAAAATTCTGAGCATAATTGCTATCATGTAGATAGTAAATAATAATGACTTAATAAAACCACACTTTATGGCTTCAATTTGCTCTGCTTCTTATCATCCATATTATGAGCTTAATTCAAAAGCTAATATCAACCTACAGCAACTCATAGAAAGACATGCTGCCAAAGTGAAGAGATTTAAATATCTGCTAATTTTCCAGGGCAGAAGTGTATGCTTCTGGGCTTAGGAAGCTATTCCTAATTTCTGAAATGTCAGATTCTCATTTTCCCTTGAGAATATAGTTAGATGACTAAATAGAGTAACTGGAGTTTTTGTGTAAATGACAAGTTACTATAAGGTAGAAGACATTTTTATCATTGCCAGGGAAAACCTTTTAATTCACTTTTCTGCCAAACATCATGCTTTTCTGTAAGTTTCTGGTTTAACAGCTAGGATAATGGAAATGATAAGCGGGATGAAAACTGCTTAGAAACGAAATGCTTAAAGTTTGAAAATAATGAATAGAAAAAGAAAGAATGAGTTTAATGATGTGTGTATATGTATATACATACATATACATGCATGTATATATACACATATGTATACATCACCGTAAGACTAATGCCTCTACTTTCATTATAGAGTTAATTGTGAGAATACATATATATAATATGTTATATATATATATATAGTTATTTTCAACAGTTTTGGGGGAAATTACTTTGAAAATTGAAATCTCCTGAAATCAAATACAAACTTATTAACAAACTGTCATATGACATTAATATTATCAGCAATATCTTCAGGGGCAAACAACATAGTCACTAACTCTAAAACATTAAACACATTAAAAACAGGAAACACTCATTCAAATTCCTACTTTAAAGAAAGGCAACTATACTATAATTAAATATTGCATTAGAGGGAAAGATTTGTCTGTGGAGGTTTACTCTGGAATCCCTGAAGTTATAGACTTATACCATAAGCCCACATTCTTGAAAGAAAATCCTGGACTCAGGGAACTCATTATATAGGGAATTTGATCTTTGCCACAGACAAGGAGAGAGAATGTGTTACAACAGAATGAGGGGTCCTTATAGAAATTTCAGGGGATTCCAATACCTGCTGCGGACAAGAGAAAACTGAACATCAGTGTTGGAAAGGATCATGAAATTACAGGAGGAGCCCAGATGTGAACAACTGAAAGTCCCTGTTATCCCTGAAGGAGAAGTGAGACAGCAGGAGGAATCCAAGTGTCAGTAGTGGTAGTGTCTGCCATGCACTGACTCAGAGCAAAGTCTCTGTTGTAGAAGGTGGAGCTGGTGGGAGAGCAGGTGTAGAAGTCTGCTTAAGAGTCATCTTGAGCCACCATAACACGAGACAAGACAGTAGCGGAAGTGAACATGAAGAAGCGGATGGTAACAGAAACCTTCCCTGGAAGTTGACACTTTAAAAGTGTAGAAGACAATCATGAGACACTAACAAAAGCCAGTGATGCCAAACAGGTTACACTTGAAATGAAAAATAAAAGCTGCTAAGAGAAAAGAAAACAAAAATCTTAATTTAGATTGAATTGCTAACTTGTGGGACTCTGTGGGTTTCAGATCTTCCTATACCCTCTCTTCAAATATATGTTCATTCAATCAGCAAAAGAAAGGGACTAATGAGATCTTTCTGTGGTAGACACCTGCATCAGACAATGGCCCTGATCTCTGAAAGATTTTAAACAGCTGTGCATAAACTTCAAAAGTAATTTGCAACCAAATTAGTAAATGTCACCCTTCTTCCCACTAGACACAGCACTTTCAAGAGATGAAGCATCCGCAGTAAGTCTGCCATTTTACCAGTTACCAAAGATCGGTGAGGGGGGAAAAAAAGAATGAAGATGTTCATTCACAGGTTGGGATGTGGAAAGGGTCAAAGGACCCAGGTCCCTGTTCATAGGGCTTCTCTATAAAGCAGCTCCAGTCAGGAAAGGACCAGAGGTGGCCATCCCTTCTAGAGAAACAAAGCAGGGGCCAGAACAACTGATGAAGCCTCCCGGAGCCTACGGAATCTTGCTGCTTTACACTTCTCTTTGCCAAATGAAAGGGGCAATGAAGAGGAAGCAGACAGAGTATGCAGGCAGACTCCCCGGGTCTTTCAGGCACTTCATTAAATAATTTTGCAAGCTGGTCTGTGCTCTCAAGGGGCACCTATGACTTGAAGGACCATTTTGTATTGGGCACAGATGGGCCATTTTCCCCACTGACAGGCACAGCCCATAGAGTAGCATTCTCTCCACCTCACCGCCCCCCTCCTCAGCTTTTGCCATTGCTGAATAATCTTTTATTAGCACCACTTCCAGCCCACATAGTGTCAGGACAACCCGAGGACAAGGCAGCTCTGTGGCAGTCTCCTTGCAGAAATGACCAGAATCTCCTTTCACTCTGGTGGCAAGTGCTCAGGCCTTTAGCATTAAAGTCACTCTCACATTGATAACTGCTGGCTCTTAAAAATTCAGTAAAATAAAGATTTAATCTCACAAACTACACTTTGATAACCTGTGGCCCCCAAAGCTGGAAAACAATGTAGCTCAAGGTCACAGGCTTCAGCACCCAGACTTCCCCCCACCCTTTAACAAAGCTGCTTCTCACCCACCCCAGGCCCTTGGAAAGAAACTTGGGTTTGTTTAGAAAAGTGAATGTCCGCAGCCCCGTTTGCTGCTCCTGCAATTTCCCAGAAAACACCCTTTCTTACACATTTTTGCGATCAGTATAAAAACTTTCACCTCCCTCCCTCGGCTTCAGCCCGGTTAGTTCAGGTGAAAGGAGAGTAGGAAGGAGGCGCCCTCAGCCCGGCTAGGCGGCCGGCACCGGCCACAGCCACAGTCACGGTCACCAGCACACAAGAAACCCAGACGGGGTGGGGGAGCCCCAAAGTTGGCTTTGGCTCTAGTTTTTTTTCGATTTCGTTCTCAGCCCTGCTTCCCGCGGCAACCTTAGCCCCCTTCCTGGAGCAGTTCCGAGGGACACCCGGGTGGCCCTTCCCTCCCGGGTCCTGGCACCTGGCACCCTCCCTCCCCGCCCGCATCGCGGGGCGCAGGGGTCCTACCTGGTGGCGCAGCCCGGGTCTGAACGCCGCGTCGCTGCTGCTCGGGTGGCGCGGGCACTGGCACGGGTTTGGCGCACGGCGGGTGCGCCCCGCGGGTGGCGCCGGCCAGGGGGCGCTCGTGGTCCTCTCTCCCGCGCCGCCCGGCAGCCCGAGGGGGACCCGGCACCCTGCTCAGGGACGCGCGCTCAGCCGCGCACTATCCTCGCCAGCCCAGCGCCTTCTGCCTTTCCCCTGCTCATCCTGTCCCCACCCTCCATCCTCACTCCTCACTGGCCACTTGTCGCTCCGCTGCGACCTGGACCAGGAGACCGTGGTAGGCTAGGGTGGGACAACCCCCGCAGGTGACGATGCTGCAGGCAGCGCTGAGCTGGGGCGGCTCAGCCTTGGTCACATTGAATGCTGGGGAAGGGGGCGCGGGACACCCAGCTGAAAATCGAAAAAGAACCTCCAGAGGGAAGGGTCATAGGTGTCTGTCGTGTTTTACACCAGAAAGGACTTGTAAACGTTGTTCTTTTAAAAATAACCTACCGGGAATAATGGGTTTCTGATTGCTCCTTATCTGTTATCTTGCACATGGTCGTTTTACACACAAGTTCCAAAGTTGAACTGCTTTAAACTTTACAGTCTTTGAAGCTGCAACATCGCCAGTACAACGCACTTGTCACTTCAGGACTTTTTGTGCTTGGTTGGTAATATAATGATTAGTTAGCATAATAAGGATATTTGGGGCAGTTTTCCCTATACTTCATAGAATTAACTTTTCATTTAGGTTAGAAAATTATGTCTGGTTTCCAAAACGATTACAGAGCAATTTTCTTTCAATGATAACACACAATGATTAAGTATACTTTGTTAAGTCTTTTGTTGTTACAATATACGAAAACCAGATTAGTCTGATAAATTAAGTGGCTTTTTTTTCTTTTCTTTTTCTCCCCTTTCCCTCCCTCTTTCCCTCCCTCCCTCAGTTTCTTTTATTCTTTCTTGCTGCTGGGAATTGAACCCTGAGCCACTTGAATGCAAGGCAACTAATTAACTAATTTATTTTCTTTCTTTCTTTGCTTCCTGCTTTTCTTTCCTTTTTTTCTTTTTTCTTTCCTTCTTTCCTCTCATTCCCTCCCTCTCTTCCTTCCTTCTGCTCTCCTTCCCTCCCTTCTTCTTTTCCTTCTTTTCTCTCCTTCTTTTTAAGAGATTAAAAATATACAAAAGAGCCAAACCAATAGATTGGCAGGCTTTTGATGACGGAAATATAGAATGTCATCTTAAAAGGACCTCGGAGTACTTTCAGTTCCAGACTTTTAATTTACAAATGAAAACCTGAGGTCCAGAAGTGTTCTGTGACTTGATTAAATCACTCAAGGCTGCACTGGTGACTCTTTGCTCTAATCTATGTGAACTCAGCAAAGCCAACGCATGCCTTTTAAGTACAAAAACATATTTCATTAAAATTAGCCATCCCTCCCATTTGTTAATGTCTAGCAGCTTTAAACTGGCCCAAAGGACAGGATCTCACAACACAGAAGTTATACTTCTTGGAATATTCTAGCCTAGAGGTAGGAAGGTGCTGGCTCATCATGACTTCACCAGAGTTTGGCATATAGTAGGTCCCCGTTATATATTGGCTATTCAAAAATTGCTAATAGAAAAATGTATCTGTCTGGAAACAAGGTGACAGCATTGAGGAATGATCCCTGGCTCCTTCTCCAGCCCTCTTTCAATGGAGCCTGTCACAAAAAGTGGCAAGAAGCCCAAGGTCCTTGTGCCTAGGAAGATTCCTCATCCTTCTCAGAGCCACCTGAACCTGCTTGTTGGGAATTCTCTGGGTTTCCTTCAAGCACACTCTGACAGCAGGCCCTTTGCAGTTCTCTTCTGTCCTCTAGCCTGGATGGGATGTGTGGTCATATGCTAATGCCTCCAGTGGGTACACTGATTGCATTTGCTTACTCTGTGCTCTTTTTATACCTCAAGGCAGTTATCTTTTGTGAGAGTTAAGATTTACCTTGGGAACTGAAACTCGTGTCTGAGTTTTCCACTGACAATTTCAAAAGAAGGCTAAATACAGACAGGGGTGTAAGGAAAAATTTTAATGCCCTGCTACTTTAATCAGTTGCCATTGGTTTAAAAATCAAATTTTAGATGATGATGATGTTGGCCATAAAGTAAGTACCTACCTACCAGGTATTGTGACAGGCACGTTTGATGCACCGTTCATCTGATCTTTATAACAATCTTTTAAAGTAGGTGTTGTTGACATGGAGCCATTGTCATCATCTCTTTTTAACAGATAAAATTAATGAGGTTTCAAAGATTATGTTTTGTGTCCAGAATCTCACAATTATTATAAGTTCCAGGATTAGGATCCAAACTCTGAGCCTCAAGGCCCCCTCTCAGGTGCTGTGGAATAATGCCTCCATCCTAACATTGCTCTCAGTTTTCTGCTTCACTTTCTTTTGGACATCAGGTCTCAAGTCTCATGATGCTCTATTATTCTCTGACCATATAGTCCTACAATTGGAAACTCTTTAATATGAAGATTGGATCTTATATAATAATCATCATATGTCCTAGAAAAAATGTTTTGTTTTGTTTTTGTCTTAGAATGTTATCTAAAACAAACAAACAAAAATCCAAATCTTTTTCTGGAACACATTGGTGGAGTGGGAACACTGGACTTTTGGACCCCAGCATCCTGCAGGACCATCCTTCCCCTCTCCAGGTTGCAAGGCTTTTCAGCTTTTTCTCACTGTTTCACACACACACACGCAGATGATCAGAAGTTCACACCTTGGTTTCCTGGAAGAGGAAATGGCATTTCCGGGAGGGGATGATGCGTGGGTGCTAAAGTTCCACTCCCTGCCTTAAACACACCCCAACTTTCAGTTGCACACTTCTTTTCCTCCTTAGGTCTTTGCCCTAAAGTTTCCTGGAATCATGCTGAGTGCACCTGCTTCATCAGGTTCTCTTCAGCTGAGAAAGATGCGATTCCTGCTTTGGACTCAGTGGCTCAAGATTCCCAGGCGTCTTGTCCCTGCAGCTGTCACAAACCACTTTCCTCCAACTTGGAATCTGGAAGAGAGCCTTAGACATCACTTGGTGTACTTTTGGATCTAGTGGGTGACTATGCTGTGATTTCCATGGAAACCACCTCTTATACCCTTCTGTGGTATTAACCTTTCATAAGGGACTTAGGATAGAAATTGCAAAGGAGTTGTTCTTGTTTGAGCCTCAATGTGGAGAAGGATGGTATTTGGGGAGAAGTAGGATATGACTGACAATTGGAGGACAGTGCTATTTAACAAGAACTTCTCTGTCTCTGCACAAGTCACCATTTGGAGGAAGCCAATTTGGACTATTTTATGAGGAATTTGATCACCCAGCTATCCATTTCCCCAAAGCCTGCCAGAAATTGTTTTAAAAAATGTCACACCCAAGTCCCCTGAAGAATCCACATGGAATTCAAGGATGGTGATCTGCTGTAACCAAAGATTTCAGTAACATCTGAAGTTTGGCATACATTTATTTGGAAAATGTAAAAATTATTTTAGAAGATATTGATTCAAATGAGCTACAGAGATGCAAACAAAAACAGGTATTTTAAACTCACAGCGTGGACAGGGAAAGGGAGGTTTACTTTTTCCTCTTCAGCTCAACTTAAGAGTTTTAAGTGGGGAAAAAAAAAAGATAATTGGAATTTAAAACATGTTATTTTCAGAGGATAGCTGTAAACCCCAAAGCAAAAATTAGCCCTCCCATAGGGGAATAAATAAACCACAGTTACTGTTTATAATAATGCTAATATCAACTCTTGCAAATCATGGAATGAAGAGTGAAAGATAAATGCAAAACTCACTCACCCCAAGGTACCAAAGTGAATATGGTCATGGTGTACTTCTGAAAATCTTCCTAAAAGTATTTATTAGACATAGTTAGTAATGTTAAGATACTTTACACCTTTAGACCATGTAGGGGTGGTAGTTATTTATTTTTTCATTTAACATAGTGATTAGGGTGATGCTAAAATATTTATTAATGCTTGCTGTGCATTTACTCTGTGTGTCAGGGCATGGAGTTGAATTTGTTTTAATTATTTTATTTGATTATTATGTCAAATTCTATGATATGGGCAATATAACTCTTCATTTTACAGATAAGACAGTTGAGTTTGGGAGGCTAAACAAACAACTTCTCAGCTTTATCTAGTCAATAAGTGGTAAGCCTGGTTCAACTGATCCTCAAATCCATGAATTTTAAATTATAGACAGAAAATAAGGCAAGAATTGAAATTGTATCTTGATTCTTAAAATAGTAAAAGAATCATGTATTATTTAATTTCAATTAATAAAATATTCAGAGGGAAAAAGTTCTCACATGTATAGATGTTCACACATGTATAGATAACCAGTGCATAAATTATAATGTATTGCAATATTAATAATAAAATCACAGAAAATGAAGCCAAGTGTAATTCTTAATGATGAAAAATAGAGCAAAAAATTTTTTTTTTACTGAGCATCAATTTTATTATATTATGAGAGAATGAAATTAAGAATGAAAGTTTCCCTTTTTTAAATGTTTTTAAGGTGGAATAATTCTAAAAATCTAATATTTGTGCCTTATTTCAGTCTTTGTTTTACTATTCTATGGACATTGACTTTGTAGTCACTACTGTAATAAGGAAACTAATTGTAGCAAAAGTTCTGATTCAAACAGTGAATGATTACATTTTCAATATTTTTAGCATTGATACAAGTTAACACAATAAACTCCAGGTGTATTTCTAAGTTCTAAGGGCAGAATCAGCAAATGGCTAGTCCAGTATTTCTAAGGCCAAACAGATATGGTTCTCTTGGTTTCTGGAAGTCTAGGGACACATACCAGCCATAGTAAGTATGGCCCAAATAGTCATAAAATTTTGTCTGAAATTAAAGAGATATGGATGAGAAGATTTACAGAGTAAATCACTTTTTAGTGATTCTCCTCTACCAGGAGAAAAATGCCTCTGGAAAGACAATACTCCTGATGAGAAACCCTCCCCAGGGAGGGTTTATATATCTGAGAATTAATCTGTGAATCTAGGAGGATGAAAGTCAGGATGAAATCTTCTGTCGTGTTTATAAATTTGATTATTGCAAGTCTACAATTTGACCTAGTGCGATTGCTCTAGGATTTGAAAAGGCTAATGTGTTACTTTAGAATAAATCTTAATCTTTTTGAAAACAAAAAGGCAATCCTCTCCTTAGTCCATTTTATTCCATCCATACTAACACATTTAGTAGATGATTTTATTCTGCTATCAATACCCCCTTTACACACATGCACGCATACACAAACACTGTCTGGAAAGAATTTTTCATTTTAAGAAAAGTATATTGGACTACATAAGATATTCCATCAGGTTTCTTCCAACTTCCAAATTCTGAAAATAAGTGTCAAATTGAAGAAAGTACTAACTCTCAGCAAGGGGGGTTGTACAGCAATTTACTTCTAATGGACTCACTGTTGATTTAGTCTAATATACTCACTGGTATAAAAAAATCCCAAATGCCCTTGAAGAAGTCCTACAATTATGGCATCAGGAAAGCAATGAAAATCATTAGTCTCGTCTTTGTGTACAGCCTTCTTGGTAATACCCTATCTTCAACCATTCACTTCAAAGGAAAAAGTTGTAGAACAAAAATGTAAAACATTTTTTTCTCCCCTCAGTGGTTGGGACAGTGACCTAACAAGACTAAATGGACCATAGTTCATTTGGGGGCAACTGAGTTAGATGTGCTCCGAGTATGGTCATGGTTTATTCCTCCAATGCAAGCATCTCACCCTGAAAATATTTGTTTTGGGGCCTCAAATGGCAACTCAGGACTGGTTATTTCTTTCAATGTGAATTGGCTGATATGTTGTAAATAGGTCTGTGATGGTATTTCTATTTCTTCTCCTTCTCCTTCTCCTTCTCCTTCTCCTTCTCCTCCTTCTCCTCTCTCTTTCCTTCTCTCTTTCTTTCCTTACCCCTGCCTCTCACTAGACAGGAACAGCCCAGAAAAGTGGAAAATTTCTGTGTTTTGAGATTCAGGCTATAATTCAGAAAGAACAATAGCTTATGTTTGTACGTCTGTGCAACATTAAAATAATAGGAAATGAATGAGCTAATCTTTTTGTATATCCTACAAGAACTTAATGGAGATATGATTCTTGAAGATTAAAGGTATTTGAAATCAGAAGATATGTTTATTTTTAGAACTAGACTGCAAATGTCATGTGTTATTTTACAATCCCTTTCTCCCACATAATTGTTTTAGAGTTAATAAAAGGGGGAGGTTCATAATACAACCTGCCAATTTCATAAGGAAGATTGAGTAGATAAAAACCTCTAAAATGCTTTGACCCCTTATAAACCTCAAAAAGAAAATTCAGACTTTGGAATGAATATCTACTCTTTATAGGGCATTTGCAACCTAGTGTTTTATAGATATAAGCTTATTTAACACTCATATCAACCCTATAATTTGGGTGACATTTACACTTTATAGATGAGAACATTGAGGCTCAGAGAAGCTGAATAACTGGATTCAAGATCACAAAGCAAGGGATTGGCAGAGCCAAAATCAGAACCTGGGGTGGCTCTGTTCAGAGCCTATCCTGAGCATTCTAGAGAATTCTGGCCACCAGCTACAAAGGCCACAAATTGGGGGGTGTATTCCACATGCTGATTTTGAAAGACAATATTTATTATTTTTCCTATGATAAAGTAATGCATTTGGGCACACACACACACACACACAGAGAAACACAAATTATAATTAGAAAAAAAAGTGAAAGAAGAAAAAAAAAGGTTAACCATAATTTCACAACCCAAAGATAGTTAATCTTCTGGTTTATTACTTTATATTCTTATATCCATGCATAGTATTTGGAATTGTATTATTTTAAAAATAACTCCTATTGGCTGCCTGATTATAAGGTAATGCATATTCACCATAGAAATTTTTAAAAATACAACAATGTATATAAGAGAAAATTTAAATCACTCATAATCTCAAAATGTAAAAATAACTGTTAAAACTTTGGCCTTTTATTCTTTTCATGACTGAAACCAACAGCACATAACTTGAAACTTTATTTACTTATTAGTGATTTAAAATGATCTGCATCATACAGTTTATAGTTTAGTTTACAAAATCATTTTTTTAGGTTGTTTGGTTTTTTACTTGATTTGTTGTTTTATTTTTCCTGAAATTACAAATTTGATTTTCAGACAGATGGTTAGAATGACGTGGTTGCTCTAAATAGAACTCTCTACTTTTCACTGAAGGACAAAAATTACTCCCACATACAAAAGAAAAAAGAAAAACACCTCAAAGAAGGAATTATGATACTGTTTCAATCTGCCCTGATAACACCACAGAAACACTTCGACTTTTTATGCTTTTTTTCATCTGCAACTGGTTTTAAGCAACTTTTCATCAAGACTAAAACAATTGACACTGAACTGCCAGATCAAGTAAATAAATCTGGGGTTACATGACTTGGGGAGGGCTGCAGAAATGTGAATTAAATCTTAATCACAGTAAGAAAGTTTTTTACGGCTCCCAAAGCCAGAATGCTATTCTTTGAGAATCTTTGCATCCTGTGATTTAACCTGCCAAGGGCACTTAAAGAACTTAAGAACTCAAAAAGTGTCCAGGGTAAGACTCAGCAAGGTGCACCAAGTCTGGCTGCCACAACTGTGCTAAGAAGATTTGGCTTTTCCCAGGGATATAGTAGGAACCTGAGCAAAGGAAACGAAATGATAAATAAACTGAAAGTTTTTAAACTTACATTCTCAAGTTTATGCTCTTTTGTCTGCTCAACAGAGTAGCAAAGTACTAAAAGGGTTTTCAGAAAACTCTTGTACATGAATATTTCCCCCAAACTTGTCTGTATTTTTTTTTTTTCAGAATCATAGTTTTTCTTTTCCTTGCAATTGTATTTTGATAGAATGCAGATCTCTTCCATGGTTCTCAACTTAAATTCTTCCTTTTATTTCCCAGCTATGAGAGAAAATTCCAAAAATTCCAAGCTGTACTTTGTAATTCCTTGAACATAGTGGATCCATTATGTACATTATAGAGAGGGTGTGGAGAAAGTGGAATTCTCATGCAAATTAGTACAACTTTGGAAAATTGTCTCACAATATCTGCTACAGCTGAACATAGCACCACCAGTGACCCAGGCAGATCATATGTCCACAAGCTACAGAAATGTGTTCAGATGCACTAAAAGACATGTACAGTTCATCCATCCTAGTATTGTTCATAATCACCTCAAACTGGAAGCAACCCAAGTGCATCGTGAAATTGTGGTTCTTCAATCAATTGAATCCATGCACAGAAGAATTAACACAAGAATGCCATATGCCACTCTCTGAGCACATCTTGCCAACATAATGTTGAGTGAAAGAAGCCAGTTTCCCCCAACGGACTTACTGTATGTTTTCATTTACATAAAGTTAAAAAGTAAGTAGAATTAATTGGTGTGATGTGGAGTTAGGACAGTAGTTATTCCAGCAGGGAGGTGGGTGGTGGAGTGTCTGACCTCTGGCTGCCTATGGTGACTTTTATTACTAGATACGGAGGATGGTCACATAGGTATGCCCTCCTTGTAAGAGTTCATCTAGCTGTCCACCACTGGTGAGTTGTTTACTTTTCTGAATGTGTCAATTCCAATAAAAAAAGATTATTTGAAAATGGACTCTAATAGTATTGTATTTATAAAGCCCTTTCTGTGTAGCCAGAAACAGGATTGGTTTCCCAGGTGATGTGGAGTTCACCAGGGGTTCAGTGAGTAGGGATTAGGTGGCAATTGTGCTAATTCCTCCGTTCTGTTATTTATGAGGCCAACAATCTGAGCTTAATGACAGTGTGACCTCAAACAAGTCATTGATATTTTCTGGGTCTTTTCCTTCATTTGAGAGGTGCAGAAGCTAGATAATGCAGGTCTCCAGTCGTTCTGACCCTCACTGCTTTGGTTCTGTACCCTTCTTCCTCTTCAAGGTTTCCCCCACCTCTTCCTGTCCCCTCTCCCTCCCCTCCTCTCCTCCCAGGTGTGTGCCTGTGTCCTTCTCTTTGTCCTCTCTTTCTGTGGCTCCCATGGCTTCCCAGTACTGCGCCTTATACATACTTAGAAAATAATAATAATAATAATAATAATAATAATAATAATAATTCATTTGTTCCATAGAGGCAAAAGTTCAGTAAAGTTTGAATTCTGTGATATTTAGATTTCTCAAAAAATTCCAAAATTGAATTTATCCTAACTTGGGCAAGAGGAAGTTCATGCCAATTTTTAAACAGAATCCAATAACAAACATGCCCCCAAACCAAATGGTAGCAGTGATGGCTCCCTCAATATGGTTATTTGGAGGTGGCACATTCATATGAGTAAATAGCATCAAGTCTAAATAAAGTTACAAGAAAGCTTATTCAGAGAATATTAATTTGGGGCAATTAAAGATAAGGTTTTAATGATTGAGGTCTTGGGGACTGATAAAAGCTATTTAAAAAAAATTGGATGATAAAGATTTGCCAGTTTGTCCTCAGAATTGTTGAATTGCCCTTAATCATACTTCTTTAGTTAAGGAGATAAAACTGTTGCTAAACTGCAGGAGAGGAAGTCTCTTTAGCTTGATATAAATGTCATTTGGATCATATGCAAGATTATTTACAAATGGACTATAATATTAATGTACTTTGTTTCATTTTTTTAATTTCTTTTTTTTTTTTTGAGTCACCAAGAAACTGTTTCAATCTGTGGTTGAGTTTTTTGGCCATCCGTGATGGGACAGATTAGATCAGCACATGTTTTTCATCACATACTGACCACCCAGATGAAAATGAATTTCTAAAACTGCCAAACCCAGGATCAGGGGCTGTAATAAGATTTTTTTCAAGAAGCAGCCACACCCAAAGGGCTCATCCCACAATAACCATTAGTGCCCAGAGCAGAGGGGAGCCCAGCACGGGACAGTTGCCAGCTCATCATGGACCTCAAGCCCCTGGCTGATGTCTTCATCTGGCTGTACCTCAGCCTTCTCACTCCCATCTGCCTGTGAGTGCCCACATCTCTGCTGCAGCCTACATCAGGGAATGGGTGTGGAGTGATCAGGAAGTCAGAGACCCAAGAAGAAGGTTGTGCTTCTAGGGAAGCGTAAATGTGAATCTGTTTGGCTTCTGATTCAGCCCGGAAGAAACACCAATACCTTCTTCACCACCTTCCACAGCAGCAGGTCTTATAATCAATGTCTCCCACTGACATTTACAGTGCCTGCTCACTTGTTGGGCTCCCCACATTATACAACACTTCTTTGCCACCATTTGCCTACCTAGGGATGAGAATTAGTTTCAATAAAATAGGTAAATGTTTCCAAATAATTACTCAATGTTACGCTCCCCTCCCCCGTTTCTGATGCAACCTGTTATGCTTTGGTGGGAAGCTAAAGAGCTTCAGGGTCCCAGAACCCCCAAACATAACTACCGACATACCTGGGCTCTACCAGAGGCAGCTGCGGATTTGGGGAGTCACATCACCTCTATGGGCCTCGGTTTCCTCAGCTAGAAAACAAAGTGATAGACTAGATGATGTTTCTTTCCATTGGGAAAAATCCATAAAGTCCAAAATAACTGAACTCTGACAAATGTTTTTTCCTTTTTCTTACTCTGAATAATGGAATTTGTATTCAGCTGAGATTGACTGGCCAAACATCATACGTTCAATTTACTAGCACTTAGTGCCGCAGAAGAAGCAGTAAGACGTTTCCACGCCAGCGACAGGCACCTTGTATTTGAAAGTCTTCCATTTCATTATTCACCTTTATGTTTTCACTAAAACACATGTGGTTTTCAAACACAGGAAAGAAAACATGGTAACCTGTGGTTATAATTTCCACTAGAAAATAGAAAACGTGTAGCTCAGAAAGAGTGCTGGTGGGGAGTTCCTTTCTGCTTTAAACACGAAAACCCATGTGAGAAAAGCTTTCTCTTGAGAAGAAGGTTGTTAGGTGGTGCGATTTTCAAAGGTTGTTGGAGAATGAGGCCCTATGGCATCTGAGGTCGCAGCTGCAGTCGAGTTGTGGCTGAACAACTGGGAAGACCACAGGGCCATGGCTTGTTTTTTGGTTCTCTACTGTGTTTTCAGATGGCTACTCTTTGCTCTTGCATTTCAAATTCTGGGAAATCGGAAGACTAGACAATAACTCTGGTGACCCTTGCCACTTCTTACCTAGTGTGTCTTTTTAGGTCCCCATCTTGAGGCAAGCTGGCATGTAGAAATAGCTTTTCTGGGGGAGCATCTAACCTCCATAACTATTTTCAACAACTGGTTCTGCCTCCCCTGTGATCAGTTGAGTCCACTCTGTGTCTAAATTTAGTTAATTCTTCAATACATATTTATGGAGCATCCACTAAGTTTGTGATAGGGCTACATGTCTAAATTCACGGTTAATCAGAAAGAAACTCAAGACATAAATAAAAAAGTATCACAAAAGTATTTAGTTGTTTACCATAAATTTATTTACATAAACATACAACTTCAGTAATATAATTTCTCTTAACCACCTGTCCACTTACATTTTGTTCTAAATTGGTCTTTGTAAGTAGAAAGGAGAGATGTCAGTTTCTTAATTATATTACTACAGTGATCATTTTTAAAAGGTAAATAAAATATTTTCTGATGATTAAAAAAAAGTATCTTTTGAATGTTCTAAAGTGTAGTCATCAAAAACTATTAGTGAGTGAGGCGTGGTTGTGCACTCCTGAAATCCCAACCATGAAGGAGCCTGAGGCAGTAGGATCCCGAGTTCAAGGCCAGTCTCAGCAATTTAGCGGGGGCCTTAAGCAACTTAGTGAGACTCTATCTTAATATTAAGAATAAAAGGATGGGGATGTGGCTCAGTGATTAAGCATCCCGGGGTTCAACCCCTGTACCAAAGCCCAAAACAAACAAAACCCAAAAAAACTATTAGTGATATGGATTATGTTTCATGTAAATTTCTTTTCATAAGACCCTGTCATTATAACTTTGGAAATGCTCTTTTTTTGGGTTGTTGGAGTGCCTAACAGTGAGGGCAAAACACTCTTGACTAAATCGCATGCACTGGCTTACGCCATCTGCTCAACCTGGAGGAAGAGAACATGTGGATGGGATCATGAATACTGGGGCTGTAAGTTTTTTCTTTCAGTTGCCTTCCTGATCACAATGAGATAAGAATGGAGTGTAGCAGGAGGAGCAGCTGTCAGTGAATTTCATGTGTGAGTTCAGTTTCTGAGGGATCAGCTGCAGCATGCTTAGAATGAGAAAGCTGGAGTGAGCAGCTTGCTGCTGCTTCTCTCAAGTTCTTATCTGCAGCGAGGAAGATCTTATCAGCGTGGATGTGTTTATACACAAGCACAGATGTGGATGGTAAAAAAAAAAAATGTGTTTCTATCCAAAGAAGAGCACTGGGAGGACTCTGACCCATGCCGTTTCTTCTGCTTTTGTTCTGCTGCTGCTGTCCTCAGCACACCAAGGAGAACTATCTCATGAAAGCATGAGTGAGTTGAGCCACTCCCTTATCCCTATGCAACCTGCCAGCTCCTGGTCCCCAGATCGAACACCAACTCATCTTCCAAACCTGTCACTCCTCTTCCTCACTCAGCCACACGGGCTTCCTCACCACTCCCTTCCATGCCAGGCAAGCTTCAGCTCAGGGCATTTGCACAAGATCTCCTTAAGGTCATGGCCTGAACACCAGCTTCTCAGCAATGACTTTCCTACTAACCTGGGGCTTCACTTTGGTTCTGCCTGGCCCACAAGAACCTCTTGCAAATAACTGGTCCAAGAAAGAACCACTTCAACATGATGCCGAGTGAAAGGAGCTTGACACAGTAAAGAAGGTGCACTGCCTGCTTGAGGCAAAACCATGTATGGTGGTGGAAATCAGATTAACGCTTTCCTGGGCAGGGGCTCGGGATGGAGGTAGACTACACAGAGACACAGGTGACCTTTCGGGTGAGATGAAAATGTTCTGTACCTTTAAAAAACAGTTTGCATTTATTATTTATTTTAACTGACAAATAAAAATTGCATATGTTTATGGTGTACAAGGTGATGCTTCAAAATATATATGCCTTGTGAAATGGTCAAACCAAGCCAATTTACATATGTATTATCTCACATACTCATTTATACCTGACGAGATCAATGAAAATCTACTTTCTCAGCAATTTTCAAGTGTATATTGTTACTGAGTCCCATGCTGTGTAATAGATCTCTTGAATTTATTCCTCCTGAAAGAAGTTTTGCCTCCTTTGCTGACATCACCCCCACTCCCCAATAACCTACCTTTTGATCAGGGTAGAGGTTGCATGGTATGCACTCGAGGCAGGAAGTTTTAAAGTAATCTTTGAAAGAGAAAAATTTTCCTTGAGACAAAGGCTCTCTCTCTCTCTCTCTCTCTAAGACACAATTCTTCACTACTCCTTAGTTCTATCTTTCCCCCTGAAACTCCTCCATGCTCTTTTCTGGAATCAACACTACTCACTATTTACCTGTTCTAGCCACCAGCTATTCTCCTCCTGGGTCTCTACCTGGTTTAGCAAGATCACCACCCACCCTGGCATCTGGCTTCCAAAATGGATCCCTCAGGGTGCTTTTCAGTTCCCTTTCTCTCTTCTCCTCCTATTCAAGGGATCAAATAGGGTGGATCAGGGGATGGC